CAAAAAGAACTGAGTTCTTACGTTTGCTACACTCTTTTGCGTGAATAATTGCTGAAGAAAAAAGCCAAGTCGAAAAAATACCAACTATACAAATTTTTCATTTTTTTCGCCTTTCGTATAATTTACGTAGTTTCCTTGATTAAAGTTCTAAAATAAAAGTTTAGGCATGGTTTTGTAGAATATTTCGTGGTGCATCTTTTGAAAAAAACACTAACCGCGAGATCCTGAACGTACACGAGAAAAATCGAAAATACTGAGAGGCTCATTCATTATGATGCACTCGATAGAAACTTCCATAGTTCTACAGTCAATAATCGTCATACGGAATCTCAGTCATACACATCAATTCCATTTTAGATGAGCATTAATTTGGTATATAATACATTTTTATATCATCTGTAGTTTCAGCTCTACTCCTCTGGAAAAATATTATTTCCAACCATGTAGAAGGAGGGCAGATAATACCCATTTACGAAACCCAAAATATTTCGGTTTTACGCGTTGAAATCAAGTTAGGAATGACTCTTAATGATATGCCAAAGGTTGATTTTGCGATAGCTCTTAATCGAATTTTCACCCACACCCGTACCCCCTACGGCGATGACCAAATTAGTTCTTCACTATCCCCGTAAGAAGTACGGGCATGGGTCGAAAATGATTTTAATGATATTTTTTACAGTTTTGATGAAACTATCCATAACATACACACTGCCCATATTAAATATAAAGTTTCAAAGGGCTTTCATCTATTGGTTGAGCCATGGGCCTGAAAGGGCTATACAAGGCCAGAATTTCTAGCTAGCTCTATTCCAGAATTATAAGACTTTTCCTGGGACATTCTCTATTATTATTTTTCTCTTTTCTATCCTAAACTTTCTCGAAAGTAAGGAAATTTTTGGAATGATCATCAAAAAATTTTAGCCGTCGATTAGAGCATCTACTTAGACCTCTACTTATGACTGAAACTTACCTTTGATATGATTCAATGAGCTTTCTTCTAAATTCGTTATTTGAGCAAGACGAAGAACAAAATCATCGAAATTCTTTGCTTTAAACATGAATGGTTCAATTAATGTATAAGATATAATCCATGAATTCAATATCATATTATTTAATTCTTGTAATTGAAATTGTGTTGTTAAATTATCTCGTAGCTCTTGAAAACGACGTCGACCATGCTGAGAGTAAAGATCAGATTTTTTCATCATGTGAATAACATTAGAACATTCGACTGCTATTTTAATTAATTGTAAATGTTGATGAGTTAAAGTTTGGAAACATTCTTGTAAAATTCGATAAGCATTAGTTATTTCTTTTAACGAACAATTTACATTACCACTCAAACGTTTTAAATGACCAATTATTGATTCTTCAT